AAATGTTCTGCCACTGGTTTTTGTGTATTCCCATTCCTAATGTCTGATCTATGCCCATTTATCCTCTAGTGCAGGGACTGGCCTGTTTGTCCAATGTAGAGTGCTGAATTTTTTTTTTCTGAGACATTGAGCCTTCTCTGTCAGAGAGCTCTGGTGCCACAATAAACTGCAGTTCCCATGATTCCCTAACCCTAACCCTAACCCTATCCCTAACCCTAAAATTGGACTCAATTTGCACTATTTCTGGAAGTCTGCAATCCCCCATATTCCAAAGCTCAAACCACTCTGCCATGCTGGGTCCCTAGCTATGAGTACTGTGGACAAATAGTAGTTTAATAATATGAACAAAACAAGGAAAGAAAATGTATAAAATAGAAAGTAAGACTCTAAATCAATTTTTAAAGAGGTGGCAATTGAAAGAGAGCTGGGATGAGAGAACAATTGCAGAAGCAGTGAGACTCAACAAAATAAAATCTGCTCATGCTAAAGCTTGTTCCCTTTGGGCTGCTTGTCTCCTGCCTGCTGAGGCATACAATGAGACTGGGTGGTTCTTTCACTCTCCCCAGCATAACCAAAGTAGCTTTAAAGGCACAGAAATAAGCATTCATCTGACTGAGAATGAAACACTGCACACAGCATGAAAACAAATGCAGCTAAAATAATTATAGGTTGCAAAGAATCAATCAGGGCTGCATAAATAGCCTCCAGGAAGGCATCAGAAGTACTTGTCTTTAGTTTCACATGGTTAGCATACACAGAACTCTCTGAGTTCTAGGCCTTGCACAGACAATAGATTTTCAAAGGTTTCTTGGAGGTGACATTGTAGCAGAGCTACTATTCTTCCTGGTATGCATGGCTATTTCTTTTCTTTCTTTTTTTTCCCTTGCCTCTGACCTTTTCTTGTATCAGCTTGGATTTGCATGCGCTCAAACTGTATCTTGTCAAACACAATTCTAAATATCTCCAAAGGATGACCAAGACCATATATGACCAAAGTTTGAGAGACAGCATGGCATAGTGGTTAAGTGTTGGACTGTGACTCTGGAGACCAGGATTCGATTCCCAGGTCAGCCATGAAACCTACTGGGTGACCTTAGGCAAGTCACATGCTCTCAACCTCAGGGGACAGCAATAGCGAATCTCCTCTGAACAAATCTTGCCAAGAAAATCCCATGATAGGGTCACCTTAGCGTCACCATAATTCAAAGATGACTTGAAGGCACACAAAAATAACAAATGATCAAGAGTGCTGCAGGTATCAGTTAGATCAGCCTTCCCTCACATGGTGCCATCCAGATCTACTGGGTGAAAATTCCCTTACACATGCACATGTGTGCTTATCCAGGAGGTATTTATATCCATATTTTTGCATATGTGTATATGTGAACATTCAAGTATCTTATAAAATCATTCATTTGTAATGTGTTTGTATTTTGAATACTGCCCTATCTCGGGCTTATTTGCTTACTGACCTCTGCATTATCTCTGCTTTGCAAAGTACAATCTCATATTTGTCTACACAGACGTAAGACTTCAGTGGGACTTGCTTCCAGGTAAAGGCTCTTTCCCCAGGCCTCCCTTCATTTTAGAGAAAAAGGAGTGGGAGTCTGGCATTTCTTCCTGCAGCTGTTCTGTATGAAGAAAGTGAAGGAGAGAGGTTGGTAGGGAAAGCGATCCCCTGGCTCTCACTTATCCCTCTAAAACTAGATGTGGGAAGGAGGCATGGCAAAGACCTCCAGATTTTTGCAAAATGTTGTAATGGAAGGCTCAGGCTTTCACTTGCTGGAAGAAGCAGCAAAAAAGATCTCCACCAATCTCCCAGCTCCTAGCTATATAATAAATAATAATAAATTTATTCTTATACCCTGCCTTTTGCCAAGGCAATCAAGGTGGCTTACATAATATAAGAAACAGCTTACATAATATAAGAAACAGTTTAAAAGCATACCTTACATTAAACCATAATAACAATAATAACAATTTACCCCCCTTAAAAGAGTAAATACAGTATTAAAATAAGAGCATAAAATTAAATAACGTGTTTCCTGGACACCAGTAGGTGTATAGAGAAATGTATAGTGGGGGAGGAGCACAGGTTAAGGTGGGACGATCTATTCTGGGAAGGCCTGCCAGAAGAGATTCATCTTGACAGCTTTTTTAAAGCTGTCCAAGTTAGTTATTTGATAGATCTCCTCCAGCAAGGCGTTCCACAGTTTGGGTGTGGTGGCAGACAACATCCACTGGGAGGTTACCACTAATCTAGTTTTTATCAGTTGCAGTAAATTCCTCCCAGAGGACCTGAGGGTGCGGGGCGGATTATATCGAAGAAGGTGATCCCTTAGATAGGTTGGACCCAGGCCATGCAGGGCTTTAAAAGTAATCACCAACACTTTGTTTATACTGTGCTTGGAAACCAATAGGCAGCCAGTGAAGAGATTTCAGAATGGGTGTAATGTGATCACTCTTAGATTTACAGGTGATCAGCCTGGCTGCCATATTTTGTACTAATTGTAGTTTCTGAACTAGGTATAAGGGTAGCCCCATGTAGAGTGCATTGCAGAAATTGAGTCATGAGGTTACCAGTGTGTGCACTATAGTTTCTAGGTCCCTTACTTCCAGGAAAGGGTGCCACTGGTGTATCAGTTGGAGCTGATAACAGGCGCTCCTGACTGTCGCATTCACCTGATCTATCATGTGAAGCAATGAGTCTAGGAGCACCCCCAGACTGCAAATACAGTCCTTAGTGGGGAGTGTGACCCCATTCAGGACTGGAGATTGTATCCTGATACCTGGTTTGGGGGCGCCTACTGTGAGTACCTTCATTTTGTCTTAATTCAGTTTGAGTTGGTTTTCCTCATCCAGTCCATTACCGCCTCAAGACATTGACTCAGGGGAGAATTGCCATCTGCCATCATGGCTGCTGACCAAGACATGGAGAAGTATATTTGGGTGTCATCAGGATATTGATAACACCCCACCCTATGACTATGGATGATCTCTCCCAGCAGCTTCATATAGATATTAAATAGCATCGGGGACAGGATGGCACCCTGAGGGATGTCACATTTGAGCTCTGTTTTTGAAGAGCAACTGTCCCCGAGCCTCACTCTCTGGGATCTGCCTGAGAGGAAGGAATGGAACCACTGGATTACAATGCCTCCAATTCCTAATTCTCCCAGGTGATCCAGAAGGACGCCATGGTTTATCATATCGAAACCCGCTGAGAGGTCCAAAAGCACTAATTGAGTCACGCTTCCCCTGTCAATGCTTAGGCACAGGTCATCTGCCATGGTGATCATGGCAGTCTCCACCACAAATCCAGGTCTGAAGCCGGTTTGAAATGGATCTAGAAAATCATTCCCCTAGATTGCCCCCAGACAGCAACACCATTATACCTGCCACCTGTCATTTGCCCTGTTTAGGAACATAAATCACATACATGCTCAGACACACACACTACACTGGGGTGAGGGAAATATTATGTTGTGATGCATGCATTCACATGTTCCTTGTTGGAAAGGGGGGGGGG